GGGGCCGGGGCGGGTGCGAGGTCTGGCGGGCGGGCGGGCGGGCGGGGGGCGCCGGTGCGAGGCCGGGCCAGGAGGCGGGGGTGCCAGGCTGGGAGGGCGGGCGGCTCGCGTCTCGCCGTCCGCCTTCTTCTCCGCCGCGGCCTCTGCCTGTCCGCACCCCCGGCCACCTTTGTTCCCCCGAAGACCCCTGAGGGGACCCCTGCCTTGGGGGCCTTGACTCCTGAGAGGAACCGCCACTCCCGGCCTCCGCGTCCTGGTCTCCGGTGGCCGGGGTGCGCGGCGGGAGCTTCGGGGCGCCCCGCTCGCGGGCTGGGGCTCTGCCCGCCGGCGGCCCCGTGTCCCCACCGGGGCGTTTTCGCTCAGGGGGGACAGTGGAGCTCTTTGGGACGCGCTCCGCGGCTGGAAAGGGAGAGCTTCTCAGGTAATCTCTGTCGCTCAGCCGTGTCATTCGTCCAGGCTGCTAGAACTTCCGAAAGGAGAAATTGAGGGGAAAGTGGAAGTGCTCCGGTGTCCTGGCATTTTCTTTCCCCTGGCTGAGAAAATTGTTGCAGGAGTTTTTTTTCCCACTTGCCTCACTGATGGTAATTACAGATTATTGCAACTAGCAATGCTCAGAAATACCAAGAGGATGGAACTTTGAAATCAGGATGGTAGACTAGAAAGCACTGTGCTCACTAACGTGCTTTTTTGGCTATCGTGATTAAAGAAATATTTTCACAAATGTAAGGCGATAATGTAACTGGGTGAGGGACAGTTCTGTATTTTCTTTGCAGCCTTTCTGTAAATATAAAATTGCTCCAAAAAAGAGAAGAAACAGAAACCCCCCCGAAAACCCCAAGTAAATCGCACCAGACCAGTCAGTGTATTTGAGATCAGTAAATCCAGGGCAGAGGGGTAACCCTCCCAGCTTTAATAATTATTTGCTGAGGATCACTTTGTTTAAGGGTGCTCTTCTTGTGGATGAGAGGTTTAGATATTATTATGTATGGATGACTTAAATTTCAATTAATCTTGTGGTGTAGAATATGCAGATAAATTATTGCTTGAACTGTATTTCAGAAGTCTTCCAGAGATCATTGATGAAGGGTTTACGACTCAGGGAGAGGGCAGTGATGAGGCTTTAGGGACTAACAACAGCCTGACTGTCATGAGGAAGTAGACTAAAAAAGGCAGCTGGTTTCGTGTTTATTTCTTGACTTATAGTTTAGATAAGGCATATTTCCAGAGCTCCAATTTTGGCCTTAGGCACAGTTTGGAAATGTAAGACACCTTCAGGGTGATCACAAACAAAACCATTGGCAAAAAAATATTTATTTTCTGTTGCTTGTGCAGATTTGGGATGGGGGTGGGAGAAGAAGGGAAGCTGAAAAACTAGCATTATGGGAATTGAATGAGCCAAGTGCTGTCATAATCTTCTGGAAGTAGGTATTACACTATTAATAATAGCGTAGGACACCAAATCACCCCCAAAGTACCACTGGTTCAGTAGCTGTTGTTCTGTCCTCCTGATGGCGCAGGGAATGCCCCTTTATATATTACATAATTTTTTTTTTTTAATTTGAGATTTGTGGAAAGTCTTCATTTTTAAACCAGCCATGTGCTTTGAACAACCCTTCGTGTTTATTTTGTGTTAAAATAGTATACCACCTCAAAACTTTTCCTACCAAATGTGAGTTCCTAGGACTTTAGGAGTAAAAACATTGGCTTTGAAATAAGACAGTTTTGACTGAGGATAATTAAGTTGTAGGATTTTTCCCCCCCTTTTTTTCAAAGATGTTCTTTTTCTGAACCTATATCTGTTTTTAAAGGGCCTGGGTGACTGCCAAACCCTAACCTTGTTGATTACTTGAGAAGATAATCAATCTTTCTACATTCACTTTTAGAGTAGGTAGGTCACCTTTAGGCAATTTACATATTTCATTTGTGTGTTGCAATGAGAACCGATCCTTTAATTTGCTTTGTTAGGATGGTGATAATTCAGAGTAGTTCTGAATATTTAAAAAGCTTTTCTTAAAAAGAAAACTGCTTGATTTTGCTGGAGGTAGTCCACTTTTTCTCTTTATTGACTTACTAAACAGGACCACTGAACAGTTACTGAGGCTGTTTACATTTCAACTTTTTGGAATCAGTAATGTTTGCTTTAATCTTTTAAGTTAAATCTTCTATAAGACTCTACTAGGTTCTCCGTTGATTTTTCTGGATTTTTCCCACTGAACTACAGTGTTAAAGTGGAACAGTTCTTGCCCAGTATGAAAAACTAGTAAAGATTTTAAAAAACTGATTTCCCCACTTATTTCCTTAAAAACCTCTTTTTGTTCAGTGGCTGCATTTATTGTTGTAGATTCTTAAGTGTTTATCTCTACGATAAACAGTTAACTCCCATGCCAGAGAATTGTGCCTCCTTATTGATTTACAGTCCCCTTTGGCCACATTCCATGCTCAATCTGCTGGTAATCAGTAGAATATTCTAACTTTCTCATATACCCCCGAGGATTAAACCAAGTAGCCCTTTTTCTTTCCGTCTTCTCCTCCTCTCCCCTTTGTTTGTAGTTTTTAAGGCATGGCATCACCGGGAGAAAGAGGGAGATATCATATACCAGCATGGTGATTGAACCATATATACTCTGTGTAAGAGGGTACAGTCCTGAATGTATATGTCTGAAGAGAGTGAATGTTCTGTTTTGCCTTACTTTGTCCTTGTGTTTGTTTTTGTAAAGTGTTTGCATAGCCTGACATTTTCTTGGAGTGGGGTTTTGACTTTTGGTGTTGGGGTTTTTTTGTGCCAGGTAGTGTGTCCTGGGTTCCATGTGCAGGTTAACTGCAGGTTCCCTGGCTGCCTAAATACCTTATATCTTACTGGGTGACCCATTGGGCTGCATTTAAGTGGGTTGTCTTCTGATCTGGTCGTAATTTAACTTTACTAGGGTCATTGATGAAACAATGGACTATTTTATTGGAACATCAAGGAATTGGTTGTTTGCCTTTTTAAAAATTAGCTTATAATGACTTGCAGTAGAAAAAGATGTGAGATAGATATATATATATATTTTTTCTTCTTAAAAAAATTTCTCCTAAGCAAACGGCCAGTGTTGGTTCTTCAGAATGAAGCACTTTATCCACAGCGTCGTTCCTACACTAGTGAGGATGAAGCCTGGAAATCTTTCCTGGAAAACCCTCTCACTGCAGCAACCAAAGCGATGATGAGCATCAATGGAGATGAAGACAGTGCAGCTGCGCTGGGCTTGCTCTATGACTACTACAAGGTGGGTTTGCCTGCTCTTTAAAAACCCTAACAACAGCCCAAGGCACACTTGATTCAACAGCATATAAAACAGTAATTTGCTGGTAGAATGTAATGCAGGTTGCTTCTGTAGTGACTATAAATAGTTTAATGAGTACTTTGACTTACTGTGGTTCAAAGCTGAAAATCTACAATCATAGAATCAACGGGTCATTTTTAAAATGTGTAAAGTAGCCAGCTGTTCTGGCTCTATCTGAAAGGTGAAGCTCCCATAAAAGAAGATGTTACCTGTGCCTTAATGAGATTGATCATTTTTCCAAAGGTAGTTCTTAGTGCCATCAAGAGTGGATATTGGTTCATTTACCTGTGCTCTAACCTTTATTCCTGTGTAGTCAGAGTGGTTTCCTTTTCCCTAAATGATATTACAGAGCATTTGATTTGATTTGATTTGATTTGATTGTGGGATTCATGAAAAAAACAAAACCTGTATTTTCTAGCCTTGGACTTTCTAGTTCTAAGGTCAGGATATATTTTGTTGCCTGTTCCTAGAGATTTGGATTAGTCTTAATTAAACACAGCCTGTTCTCCACCTGGAGTTTTACATGGTGTTCATATCTGGAGATGACACCCCTGATCTGTACCATCATCATTATCCTAATAATACTAGCTACGACTTACTGATTACCTGTATTGTGCTAGCCATGTTACCAGAATGAATGTGATTTCTGATCCCTCCTGCAACCCTGGAAAATATGTGCTATTATCCCTGTTTTGCAGATGATAAAAATAAGATTCTCAGGTCACACAACTAGTATGTGTTGCAGCCAGGGTTTCAGGTTGTGCCCAAGCCCCCCCCTCAGTGTGCCTTGCTGCCCTGTGGGGGACAGGCTTTGCTTGCTGGGTTCACTTGGCGTTCTTCTCTCTGACCCATAGCCCGTATATATATAAACTGTAAGATACAGCCCAGGAATGGCTATATATTACAGCTTATTTTTACCATCTCTTTGTTTTTGAAACGTTCAAACCTATAGAAAACTTAGAATAACAAGATAATTAACTCCCAGATACTCTCACCCAGATTCATCAGTTGCCTGCCCTCTGTTACATTCTGACACTGTATTCTCTGAATACAAGAAATGCAGAGGGTAAAAAGCAAAGAAGATAGTTTGAGTATCGAAATGGGGGGGGGGCGACCTAAACAAAAGATTTAATTGTTTTCTGGTATGAGGCCATGTGTCCAGCTTGTGTTTGAGGTCCGAGGTAAGTTTTTTTCCCTTAAATATGAATGGAAACTTGCACAGTAACCAAGGATGCTAGAAGAAACCCTTGCCTGGGACGTGTGCCACAAAGGGTTCCTTTGAAGTAGAACTTATATTATCTGTTCTTCTTATGGCTTGTTTTATTGACTCATTGTAAAACCATAAGTTTCTAAGTCTTAAGTATGAAGTTTGAAGTTACATATTTTTAACTGAAACTTTTGAGAATGGGAGAAACCCAACAAGTTTAGTGCCAGAAAGACCTATGTAATAACACTAATTGCAGTGGTTGTATGTGTGTGTATTTTAAATAAAGGGTCATCCTAAAAGTATTTTACATCTTAGGAGGAGATAAATCCTCATGTCTGTCCATTAAGGGTGGCAATCTTAGTAGTACTGTATGTCAGCCTTCTTGCAATAGCTGTAGGGTTATTTATTTTCCTTTTTAAATAAACTTACTTATTTGTTTCAATTCTTTGGGTGTAACCATCAGTCATTTTTATATAATAACTTTGGTAAAGCTTTAAAAGCGTGTTGTTAATACGTGAAACAATAATTTATTTTGTCTTTAAGGGTAGAATAAGAATGTAGGAATAGAATTTCTACATTCACATTGAAAACCAGTTTCAAACGTCTTAGCGGTTTTGGAGTACATGTTGGGAATAAGTCTCAGCTGGGTTGATGTCTGCAGTACACCCAGTAATGTTTGCCTGCTGTCACCTCCTATGCAAAGAGGAGCAGAATCAAAAAAGGAGTAGACCCAACAGAGTTTGATTTGTCCTTTGGGTAACAGACAGTGTGACTCCCAACGTATCTAAAGAAATTTATCATTTGGAGCCAACATTTGGGTCTTGGAGTGAACTGTTAATATGGCTGATCCTTTTGGTTTTGCGTTTGATCTGAAAGGAAGGGTAGCAGAGAAGAGCAGGGAGAATGTTGAAAGAGCCCAGTTGTGTTTTCAGTAGCTTCTTCTCTATTACATTATGTAGATAAATGGGTAGAACCAGACCAGAGGTATTTCTTTTAACAGATAAAACCCAAACTCAATGACAAAGTAAATGTTGGATATTCTGAATTTATTTGGCAACTAAGTAAAAGTTGGTTTCTACATATCAACCCGGTGACCAGATTGTAAACTCCTTGAGGGCAGATACTGTCTTATTCATCGTGTGTCCTCAGAGCCTGGGGTTCGGTAGGCAGTCAGTAGACATGTGAATGGTTGAGCTTACTGATGAAAAGTAAGGACTGTATCTCTACTTCATGAGTAAGAACTAAATTGTTGTCATGTGTGTTAATATCTAAGGTTCCACGAGAGAGAAGGTCATCAACAGCAAAGCCAGATGTTGAGCACCCAGAGCCAGATCATAGCAAAAGGTAATGTTTAATGTAGAGCATAAAACAGTACACTTGAAAATGCCAGGTTTCTATGAAAATAAAGCAAAAGTTTGTTTAAATGAACAGGCGCTAGTGGAAGAGATGGGTAAGTTGGACTCTTAATATCTGAATTCAGATTTCATTACTGATTTGTCTCTTACTAATTACGATTCTATTGCTGAGAAGTCACCCGTTTCTTTAGGTGTAGTTGCCTTTTCTAGAAAACAAAAACAATAACTTTCTCCTCGCCCAAAGGGATGTTTTTAGTAAACACGTGAGTGCACTGTTTGCTTATTTGTCTTTTAGGTTCTCTTAAGAAGGACGTGTCTTAAGGCAATGGTGGGGGTCCATTAAAAAAAATAAGTATCAATGATCTTGAATAACTGCCTAACTGAGTAAAATTTAATAAAGTATGTTCAGCTGTATTCCAAACTCCTGTTGAGGTTATTTTTGAAATCTTTTAGGTTAAAACTTTCAGAAATTCAAATTAAGGCTTGACTTTATAGCCATGAAGAAAAAAAGTTAAATGTGCCTTTTAAATTGCTCTGTGTTCTATTAGTAATAGAAGAATAAAACATTTTTGAAGAAAGAATGATCATTCAGCATCCCACTCTGCTCACAATTTAGTTGTTTGCCGTTTGGGCGTGCAGGCGCATTTTTTGGGGCTGTGATTATATTCACAGATAGGATTTTCTTCTACTCAGTATATTTCATAAATATTTTCCATATTGCTGTTTTAATCTTCATAATTTGGAAAAGGGCTTATGGCTTTTATTTTTAAATTTTTGTTATAGGCACTTTCAAACATAACAAAAGTAGAGAAATAGTATAAGCCAGTAGGTACTCAGCTTCAACTGTTATCAACTTACTTCCTCCTTTTTGATCTACTCTTCCCTCTTCTCCAACTTTCTAATTAATTAATTTTTAAATTTTATTTATTTTTGCTAGAATATTTTAAGGCAGACCCTAGCTATCCTTAACATTAAGGCTGTATCTGATTTTTGCTATTACAAAGCCTTAATGAACAGCTTTCTAAATAGCTTTTTCCTTTTTCTCTAAAGAAATTTCTTTAAGACAGTCTTGGGAGTGAACTTATGGTTTAAGGTTTGAATATTTTATTGATCTTGAAATGTGCATAGTTGCTGAATAGCTTTTTTTCCCTTAAAGGTATCAGCCTATATGGTTTGAGGGGGCTTTGAAAATGTATCAATTTTACTCTAAACTAAAAATCGTCTTATATTGCCCAGGATATTTATTAAGCCAAAAGTAATTTGTGCAAATATATCTGCTGGTACAATGTAATCATAGGGTGTTTTTTTTGTTTTTTGTTTTTTGTTTGGTGAACGGGAAAGCAAGTGAGTCTAAGTACTGGGAGAAGTGGTGGTTGAGGACCAAGTACCTCACACTTCCTGAGCCCTTGTGTGCCAGGCATCATTATACGCATTTCAGTGTATTCTCATTTCATCCTCATCACCACCTTGTGAGGATAGGTACCATCATTATCCCCATTTTATAGATGAGCACGTAGTTACTGAAAGATTTTGAATCTACATTGTCTGACTGTAGAGTCTGTACTTTAACCACCAGCCTATACTGCTCCAGTTAATCACGTTTGTAGCTTCAGGCTTCTAGTAAAATATGATCATTTTATTAGGATTATTGGAAATAAAATATAGTAGAGGAAAGCTCTGAGTTCTCAGCATTTCAAATGAAATTTTACTCAATACTTTTGGATTTTACTTGAACTATAACTATAAAGCATTTTTTTTCCCTTTCTCTGGTAATGGGTTGTTGTGCCATTTCCTATTTATTTGGTTTCTACCAAGTATATTATTATTATTGCACGGGACCCAATAGCCCAATGCCATTAGGAAAATAAAAATTGTCAAGGAACTGTATCAGCATTGAGTTTGAAAACAAAATTTTCTTTTCTTTTCTTAAAGAAATAGCATACCAAATGTGACTGAGCAGCCCCTCATTTCTGCTGGAGAAAACAGAGTGCAAGTGCTGAAAAATGTGCCATTTAACATTGTCCTTCCCCATGGCAACCAGCTGGGCATCGACAAGAGGGGCCATCTGACAGCTCCTGACACCACGGTCACTGTCTCCATAGCAGCGATGCCTACCCACTCCATCAAGACGGAGACCCAGCACCACGGCTTTGCTGTGGGAATCCCCCCAGCAGTGTATCATCCTGAGCCCACAGAGCGTGTGGTGGTTTTCGACCGGAACCTGAATGCTGACCAGTTCAGCTCTGGTGCTCAACCCCCAAATGCTCAAAGGCGTACTCCAGACTCTACCTTCTCAGAGACCTTCAAGGAAGGCGTTCAGGAGGTACAGGAAATGAAAGCATCTTCCTAAGACGCTGTGTGTTTGTATAAGTATTGGGTTCCACCTCTTCCTTGTTATGTAAGCTTGAAACTCAGCCTGAAGTCAGTGGATTGGGAACAAAAGAGTTGTTTTTCTTTTTTTCTTAAAGAGAAAAGGTCCACGGGTATAATTTGTAAACTAAACCTATAAAACCAGAAATTATTATCAAGGGCACATGGCTAATCTTACAAGCAGCTGAGTTAACAATTATGATTCCAGCAAAGTGATTTGCTGGAGAATGAGAAGAAGAGCTGCATACTTAATCTTCTGTGGACATTTTCGGCTTTTGTCCTAGACCAAAACGAGCTCCCCACAACTGGTCTTAATATAAAATGATTCATCGTATATTTGCTTAGTGTTTCTTGCTTGGTACATTGTCGGGGAGGCGGGTAGAGCTTGATGACAAGTGCATCGTGTGACATTTACCAATTAATTCCAAGTACTTCTCAGGGCTCCGTGGTGATGAACACGTCACTCGGGTAAAAGCTAGGGGCTGAGGACGTTTGGAACTGTATTTAATGACTTATGGGGGAAAGGAGCATCCGTCTCCACTTACGGAGTGAGTAGAATAGTAACCTTTCCTGGGGAAGTGCACCGATCCATCCAGCCATGGTGCCGACTCGATACTTTATCTTAACTTGGTGCAGCGATAGAGCTGACTCCTAAAAGTCATGAGATTTTGGTTGCACATTCCAGAGTCTGGACAGAATTGGGATGTGTGGGAAAGATGGGAAGAGAGAAGATGGAAGCGCTTTGTGGGAGCACTTATGTAAACTGTCTTAATTTAATCAAGGGTTGTATAAATGGATATATTTTTCTTTTTAATTTTCTTTTAAAATTTTTTGTAGAGTTAAAATTTTTGTTTCAGACAAATTTTGGAAGAGTGGTGGGTTGCTGTAAGCCACATACTCTGATGCTGTACCAGACGTTGGTCTTTAGTGAGCCTGATAACCAGTTACATCGTTGTGGCTTATCACGTTGATATTTCAGGTTTTCTTCTCCTCGGATCTCAGTCTGCGGATGCCTGGCATGAATTCAGAGGACTATGTTTTTGACAGTGTTTCTGGGTAATAGTTGTCTTTTAATTTGATTTTTAACTTTCAGCTTGTACGACTTACTTCCTTTTTGTTAATTGGATCTTGGAAAATCAGAGGTGGCTTTCGCAGCTTTCAACTTTACTTTCTTGCAGTTAGTGTGGTGACATCTTTGCTGGAGGACATTTGCTTTAGTGCATTCAGTTTTGCACTCTGAGCTGTGTTTCATGTTTCCCTAATTCTTGGTGTTGGTGCTTTTTCTTTCCTTCGGTTTCTTTATGTGATGGTAGTAGTAGTGGTAGTAGAATGGAATCTCAGAGAAGAGGTGAGGGATTAAATTAGATCTGAGGTCCCTTCTGTTTCCAAAAGTGTATAATTCTGTGAGAATTTAGGAATAACATCAAGTGGATAATGCCTTTTATATTTTTATTAGTCTCACTAATGATAAAATAAATGAAGTCAACTGTTTACTGGGCTGACAACCTCTTTTATAGGTCACAAAATTGCATCTCACTCTGGAAATACCAATATTTTCCAAGTTATATATAAACATCTTCAGTTTTTTTAGGAGTGTAATTTTGTTTTATGCATTTTTATGTGTGCTGTATTTTTATTTTTTTGCTGTATTTTTAAATAAAAGTTTTATTTAAAAGTCTAGGATTTTATGGGAATTGAGACTGCCTTATAGACCTGCCTCAAGGTACAAGGAGTCACAAACTCAAATGCCTTCAGGATCTAGGATAGGGGTCAACAAACTTTTTCTGTAAAGGATCAGATAGTAACTATTTTAGGCTTTGTGGGCCATACAGCCTCTGTCGCAACTGACCAGCTTTGCCCAGCTCTGTCGCTGAAGCACAAAAGCAGCCATAATGTGTAAACAAAGGGCGTGGCTACATTCCAATAAAACTTTATCTATAAAAATAGGAGTAATTTGCCAGCCCCTTTCCCAGCAAGGTTATTAAACAACTTCAGGGGAATATAGACGTGGTGCTATAAGATAAAAGAAAATGTAGGCAACCGTGGAGTGCCATCTGAGTACATTTAAATTATAAGCAAAAACAACAAAAAAGTGCTGGCAGGCCAAATCACATTTAGTCAGAGGCCTCCCAGCCTCCTGTGTGCAACCTTTGCTGGGTAAATACCAGGTTGGTAGCATGTCTCGTGAGAGTTCCTTCCGGAGTGCTTTTCAGTCATTCATGTCATTAATATCCTTTGCCTCCAAGCTTCTAATTTGTTAACATCACTTCACAGATTTTCTAGTAGGCATTTAGTAGTCCCACATCTGAGAGATTTGAGAATTTGTGGGTTGCTTAAGATTATATTTACTTTGGAAAAAGCAGCAACTGCTATCTACTTATAGCATGACATGGTCAGTTGGATGTTTCTAGTCATCTGCTCTCTGCATACATCCACACTAAAGCATGTCAAGTTTGAGCTCAGGCATTTAAGAAGCTTCCAAGAGAGTGAATTAGAGATCTGTGAGTTTTTTTGTTTTCTAGGAACAACTTTGAATATACCCTAGAAGCCTCAAAATCGCTCCGACAGAAGCCGGGAGATAGCACCATGACGTACCTGAACAAAGGCCAGTTCTATCCTGTCACCTTGAAGGAAGTGAGCAGCAACGAGGGCATCCACCACCCCATCAGCAAAGTCCGAGTAAGTCCTGCTGTCAGTTCTCGTCTCTGGGAAAGCTGGTCAGAGCTCACTAGTTCCAGGTCTGAGGCAGATCTAAATTAAGATCTGAAATTGCAGTTTTAATTCACCACAAAATCGAGAACTAAGTTTTCCAAAAGATACTCATGCCTTCGTGTCTTTACGTCGTGACGCATTCTCTTTCACAGAGCGTGATCATGGTGGTTTTTGCCGAGGACAAAAGCAGGGAAGATCAGTTAAGGCACTGGAAATACTGGCACTCGCGGCAGCACACGGCTAAACAAAGATGCATTGACATAGGTAAGTAGCTCCGGAGCCTGCTTTTATTCCCAGAGGTGCAAGCATCCAGTTTTCTAAATCCAGTTATTTTTGGCAGTGATCAGCTTCCTGCCGAATGCATTTGAATTTTTATGCCAGCTACTGATCTGTTCCAAACATTGTCCTTGGCCTCCTGGAATCGGTGCTCTTAACATTACTTCCTTCATGAGGACATATGCCCCATGTGGTGGCTTTCCATGTGACACTGAGGCCAGGAGCTGTAGAGCCAGCTCATGTAAGAGTGTCCTGCTTTTCAGTCTACAAATTGTTTGAGGGGTAGTGTCTTCTTTAAGAGATTCTGATTATTTGGAGATGATAATAGGTGGAGGAAAAAAAAATCACCAAGTTAAAGAAAATACTGCTGATGTGCAGCAACACACACAGTCTTCCCTAGTTACATGCTGAACTGCATCGAAAGTCTCTTCTGTCTGTAAATAGACCCAGAGATTCATCACTTGGAGTAGAGAAGCAGACCTGTGCAAATCCATATTTAGTCAGGTAGCTTTGTGACAACGCGTGTTCTTGCCATGTATATAATTGTCGTGTAAGACCATCGTCTGTATCGCAAGATGGCTCTTAATCTTTGTGTTACTTCTTTTCTTTGCCTGTGGTAATATTCATGTTCTCTTTCAGAAGAATGAAAAGAACTGAGTTCCAGTCTTGATTCTCTGGACTTAGTTTTGTGGCCTTGGGACAATTATTTAAACTTTTTAGACCTAAGTGTCCTAATTTTGACAAAATGGGATAAATTTTAAAATGTCTAAGCTTGCCTCCATTACAAAAATTCTGTGATTCTTTTTTGAACTCCTTTCAACCCAACAAAATGTTAATTTAAAGTATCCAGCAGTGATAATATTAAAAGCTGAATCTTACATTGAACTGCTGTAACCTCATGTTGGAAACTAGAAACCACGACTTTCTTTTTCTTTCTCGTCCCTCATACAGCTGACTACAAAGAAAGCTTCAACACCATCAGTAACATTGAGGAGATTGCTTATAATGCCATTTCTTTCACTTGGGACATTAATGATGAAGCAAAGGTAGGTAACAAAGTCCAGGGACTCCTGTGTTAACCAGCTCTTTGAGGAGTGGGAGGAGCTTAGTGATTGGACAACCGATTTTTTTTGTTGTTTTTTTACAGTTTTACTTGTTTTCCCTCCTTTGCTAAGGAGGAGGGAGAACAAGCGAGGCTAGGAAGGCAGCTCACGGCCATGGTCATTAGGGGCTTGAAGCAGGACAGGACGAAACAGGCCCCCTGCTCAGCCTGTCCGTGTGTCCTGTTCCTCGGCCAGCTGGTTCTCACTTTCTGTCTTTTCACTGGTTCACATTTTCTGGACATATGGCACTTTCCCAGATGTTACAGAACCGTCCCTCTCCCCTGTCTGCTCTCTTCTTCCGGAGCAGGGCTGGCAGCCACTGTCTGGCCTGGAGTCTGACTCCTCGCTCTGGGCTCCGTTTCCTCCTTTGCAGAGTGGAATCAGTTCCTGTCTCTTCCCTCCTCCGGGTGTGTAGTAAAGGTGATTGGAACATGGCCTGTGAAGCTGGTGGCGTTTCTTCAGAAAAGCCCTCGAGTACAGGTTGTCATTAGTGCTCTGTCTTGTGTCGCTACCCTGGGAATACAACTTGCTTACGGTTCTTCTCTCTTGGGCTTTGACAAGTGAAGAGTTGCCTCCAATTCAGATGGTCATTTGGATAATTGTATTTGGAAGTTTTACTACCTTTTAAGAAAAATTAAGCAGATTTTTCAGTCATTACTGCCCTTCCTACAGCCTTCTTCCCTTTTACTAGAACCCGTCTCTTCACTAAATTATTAGCACTCTGGTATTTTTTTTTTTTTTTTTTGCCTTAGTTTAAAATTTGGAGCTCAGGCAACACAATAGAAACACATTAATTTCGGGCAGTTGCTCAAGTCAGACTGATCTTTACTGTTGGTTGCAGTCCTAGGAACACTTTTGTATATCAAGGACCAGGTACAAAGTTACCATCACCTTCCTGTCCTTTCTCAACCTTTCTTCTATTTTCTCTTTTATTTATTCAACAAGAATTTTAGCAATTATGGAATAAGACACTGAGTTAGGTGCTAACTATTGTAGAATTTAATTTTTTCCCACCTAGCCTTGCTATTAAAAATCATATGACTGGATTCTTGAGACCCGTGTTAACTTTGTATTATAATCACTTGCCTTTCGTACTATGGTTGTGGTGTCTAAGGCAAAAGTGTGTCTTAAGAGTTCAGGATATAGTAAGTGGGGTCTGCCAGTCTGTTAGGAAGCTTAAGTTGCTGTAATTGTCTTAAAGTTTTCCTACTGACCACCTCCATCCTATACAAACATCTTCAGGCTGCTTAGTCCAGAGTTTGGTGCTTGATTAAAGAGTGAATTCACTACAGAGAAGCTAGTAGAAGGAAAAGTAAACATTTCGTTTTATACAATTGTTGTTATTCTGAAATTAAATATCATAATAGGACTCAACGTGCAAGCAGCCTATAAGAAGAGTTGGCCGTGTGCCCCCCGGGTGCTTCTGTTCTTAAATCAAGCTAGGGAAATTTGTCCTATTTGCCATTAGGGGCTGATGGAGAAATTGTGGAGGAGTTGATCAAGCGCACTGAAGTCCTGAGTTCATTTTTCTGACTTACCTGTGACCTTGGACTGGTCCCTTGATTCACTGGCTCAGTTTTTCCCCTCTTTCCGCCTAGGAGAATAAAAAGGCCACAGTGGTCAACTCCCTTCTTTGCTGGGCTGCCGTCAGGACTAATAAGCACTTGTCAGGGTACATGGAGATCTTGGCGGAAAGGCCCTGCGTGTGGGCAGGGTGCTTTGTTTGTTTGATGTGTCACTCCTCAGGGTGGGAGTAATGAAAGTCCAGATGACGGGTAGGGATAATGGCTGGGTTTTTGTTTTGTTTTGTTTTGTTTTTTGATAGTTTTTTGCGTTACGCGGGCCTCTCACTGTTCTGGCCTCTCCCGTTGCGGAGCACAGGCTCCAGACGCGCAGGCTTAGCGGTCATGGCTCACGGGCCCAGCCGCTCCGTGGCATGTGGGATCTTCCCAGACCGGGGCACGAGCCCGTGTCCCCTGCATCGGCAGGCGGACTCTCAACCACTGCGCCACCAGGGAAGCCCGATAATGGCTGGTTTTACTCTGAAGGCCTTCAGCTTGTTTGTATTAAAGAGAAGTATTGTTGGAGGCATGTCCAAAGTAGCCTTAATAGCATTGTTAATTGATGTAGGTAAATTCAGTTTCATTCTCCTTTCCAGACCCCCAGCACTGACTTGAGTTTTTAAGCCTTTGCCAGCCCCCAGATGGGGCTCCTGTCATTTCTTAATGAGGCTGCTGCCTTTTGAAGCTGATATCAGGCATCAGCTTCAAGTGTGTGTTGAAATTAAGTCTGTAGATATTTTGCTTTCCCTGGCCAAGTTGATGTTTTCTGTTTTCACACTGAAAGTAATTGAGGCCCCAGGGCAACTAGAGTGAATAGATATACATGCAGAATCCTGTATACATTTTTTTTACTTCTTTTTTTGAAAGCAACCCACTTTCTTGTTCTAGTTTAGGACACATTTGTTGATTCTTAATTCCAGTTCATTCCCCCCCACAAACATAGGGTTTCTTGGAGACATGTGGCATTCCCTTCTCCCCCCCACTTTTTAAAGATATCTAATATACCCTTTTGGCCAAGCCAGGAGGAGTAAAACCAGAATTCCAGCCCAGGGTCAACATGAGAATCTTCTCTGTAGCTTCCGCTGCTCTTTGGAGGTGATTGTTTTTAGGACGTGCCAGGTTGAATCTTGAACACCTTGGCTTAGGTTCTAGGTTGGGAAAAGCACTGTCCAAGCTAGACTCATCCTGTCCCTGTACACACTCCATCACCAGCATAATCATATACTTGCTGTTACCATGGAAACTTGAAGAGGTTATGAAACTTGTTTTAAAAAAAAGTCATTAGACTTCAAAGCAGCAGGGGAGAAGGAAGCTGCTTTGAAAAGCAGAAATATCTTAGAAGCAGTCCCCCCGGTGGCCCTGATCTCTCTACTGTATAAACCTATTTCATTCATTTTTCTGTACTCCACACAAAATTAGATTTGTTTGGGTGGTCGGGCATCTTTTTAAGAGTCAAGAATATCTACACAAATTATAGTTTATCTGACATTCACATTTCATTGAGAAATAACTTAATCAGATTTCTTCGCTCCTGATACATGGCTGAGATCAGCTGCTTGAGGTAATTTTGGCAGGGAGGAGAAGCGGTTCCCTTTGCAACACTGACACATGGCGCTCTGGTGAGACGCTGGAGTTTACAGCTAAGACAGGAGGGCGCTGGTCACTTGGGGAAGAGAGGATTAGGAAACTGTTGGGCATGAGGAGACATCAGGAAGGTGGGAGGAAGATAAGCACAGACTTAGACTATGTAAAGATTTCATCCAAAGCCAGCTGTGCACCTTGCCCCCAGTTGCAGGGCTTCATAACTTTACCCAACGAATATCCAAGTGCCTGCTCCATCCCGGCAGAAAGTACTGTGCTCCATCCCGGCAGAAACGCTGGTATTGTAGTTCAGATGTATTGTGTGTTAAATGGGCGTTTGTGGCCTGAGATCCTAAATATAACATCATGTTTCTAAGGAAAAGGAACTTTACAAATGAACTTTGGAGACACAAATAATTTAGAAGTTGGGGTTAGCTGTTCTGCACCAGTTTCAGCATTTCCACAACCAAGTGAGTAACTCTAGATAGGCTGCACATCGTGGACTAGGGTATAATTTTTTGCTTGGATTGTAAATCTAAGAGTTTACAGGAGCTTTGAGATTTGGACAGTGATATGAAGCCTGAAGATCTAAAATAAACAGAGGAAAAAGAAGTTAGGGAGAGAGAATTAACTTCTTTGAATGCCGGTTTTATGCCAGGCACTGTGCTGAGGTGCCTTCTCTGTGTTCACACTTAACGGGTCAGTGCTGCCTGCTCAGTACCCGTGAGAAAGTGCTTAGTCCTCCAGGTGGGAAGATGTTTGCTGCTTGGTCATCCAAATGAGATCACCTGAGGAGGTAAGAATCTACACCTTGTAATGGACAGAAGGTGTTCCTGATGGGGGAATATTTAAAAGTGTCAGCATTCTTATTAATAGAGCAGCATTATGGATTCACTAACATAAATTCCCGTGGTAAGTAGACCACTTTTGCTACAGAGGAAATTATAAACCAAAAAACCTTTGTATGGAATCAAGTGAACATTGAGCCAGCCAGCTCTGAGGGAGCGCTGGCCTCCAGGGGAGCATTCACAGGAAGGGATATCTCTTGGTGGTATAGGACATGGTTATACTTAACTGGACAATATGGGAAATGGGAAAACAGGTGCAGTTGAAAGCAGAGCTCAAGATTGCTTTGATCATCTGTATGTGGCTATGATCTCCATGAGTATGAAGCAGACCTTTTAAAGATGTAATGAAACCCCAGGGATACAAAATATCTAACATGTTTTCCCAGAGGTGACTTCTAATCCTTACTAGAAGGTGGATTGGGGTACAGCTACCATTCATACATTTCGTTTTTTAAATAGTAGCAGAAAAGAGCTTGCCGTCAGACGTGCACTAAAGCTCCACCTGGAGTGAGCAGTCAGACAAGGCATAGATGTGGATTCTGAGTTTCTTTATACTGGATTTTGCACCCGTGGCTTAAAACAACCCAAAGACTCGGGAGTTGTCCCGCTGTGCTGTGCTGGAAGCCGGTGCTTCCCGATGTCTTCATCAGACCCACAGAAGGAGGCACTCCGGATCAGGTGTGATGAGCGTTCTCACGGGCAGAGGGAACTGCACCTTGTCCTTGTGGCAGGGTCGTATCTCTGGTGGGACAGAGCCCATCTCAACAGGCTGTTCATCTCTTCATGGTTCACTTCCTTTGCATGTTTCACCTCCAGGGTGGTGCCTTGGCCTGCAGAGAAGGGATAGGACAAAATCAGAGCATCCCCTTCCCCAGAGGGAGAAAACCCTCAGTGAGAGCACTTTGTGCTTTTACTTTTAATTATGAATCTGTCAGCTCTAAGGAGGAACTCC